ACATATATAGCTATTGTCTCTCTTATGGTAATGTCTGTGTTACATGTCATACAACTCCGGACAGATGGACACGGCCAGCACCAGCGTTTCCTCCTTTTTTTCTGGTTACCAGGGTGACGAGTTCCACGATATGATTGGTTGCCTGGAAAAAGCGCCGGTGACGACACCAGTGCCTCTCTGAAAAGTTCAGAGATTTTCAACTCAAAACGCTCGGAGTGGCCACACAAAAAAGGAGGAGCGGCCGGAAAAAAGACGCTGGGCGCAGCGCCTTTTCCCTAGGCGGCCGCAGACGCTCTCTCCTCATTGGGAACAATTGAAAAAAGACACTGGCCTTCTTCTGGCGCTCAGAAAAAGGCGCTATGTGGACACAGGGCCTAAGGCAGACATGAAGAGAACATTCTCCTCTTTCCTCTCGGCAGAGAATCCACTGACTCTTGTGGACAAGGTGAAATATCTTGGTCACATCATCAGGGATGACCTGTGTGATGATGATGATGATGATGATGATGATATACAGCGACAGTACTGTAAGTTGTATGCACAAGCAAATATGTTGGCACGTAAATTTTATACAAACAAATTGCTTTGTTTAAAGCCTATTGTACTCCACTGTATACTGCCCACTTGTGGTGCAGTTACAGTAAGGCTAAATTGAACAAACTTCGGGTGGCATATAATGATGCACTGCGAATTCTGTTGAAGCTCCCTAGATGGACGAGTGCCAGTCAGTTACTTGTACACAGCAATGTTCCCACATTGGATGTTGTTCTTAGGAATTTGATGTTTACTTTTATGGCACGGCTGAAGCACTCCACAAATGAATTGTTATGGCTCTAGTCATGCCTAAAAAGAGCAGTACCTGTTATTCTTCTAGTTTTTGGAGGCACTGGAGAGAGTGTTTTTATGTCTTTTAGATATGGTTCTAATGTTTGTTTGTTTGTTTTTTTCGTGTGTGTGTGTGTGTGTGTGTGTGTTTTTTTTTATCCTGGTGTCTGATTGTTGTTACTGTTTCTTGTAGTTGTGTGTTTTTTATGGACCGAACTGAGTCTGAAATAAAGATTGATTGATTGATTGTTGGAGCCTCTTTCTCAGCACCCTGGAATACATTTTCCCAAGGAGGCTGAGGCCTGTTAATTGAAGCACATTTTCTGGCCCCCTTTTTAAAAAAAAAATGGGAACCACCACCCTAGTCTGCCACTCTACAGGCACTGTCCAGGACCCCCACACCACACTGAGAAAGCGTGTCAACCAAGATCGGCAAACAATGTCCAGAACCTTCAGCATCTCAGGACAGATCTCATCCACACCTGGCATCTTGCTGATGAGGAGCTTTTGGACTACCTCAGAGATATGGCATATGGATGAGGCTCCACCCAAGGCTTCAAGATCTGCCTCCTCCACAGAGGACTTGCTGTTTGGGCTCAGGAGTTCCTCAAAGTGCTCTTACCACTGCTCGACAGTATCCCCTGTCCGGGTCAGCAGTTCTCCTCCCGTACTGAACACAGCCTGAGACAAGCCCTGCTTTCCCCTACTGAGTCATTTAATGGTTTTCCAGAACTTTCTTAAGGCCAACTGAAAGTCCTTTTCCTTGGCCTCCCAAACTCCTCCCACACCTGGGTAATTGCTTTGGCGGGGCTTTGAGGTTGAACGATGCTGCATTTTAGCCAATCACAATGGAGGGGGCGGGGCCGAGACGTGCAGGTGTCCCCAGGAAATGTGAACCTACAGAAACAGCAAGCTCTGTGTCCATGGCGACCACTCCACCCAAAATGCCGTCTCGTCAACGTGAAAAACATGGACAACAGCACAACTTACAAGCGTTGTACATCCACCAGCACACATTCCACTCCTCACGACAGCAAAACAAAAGGGCATTAGTGGCAACATTTTTACCGCCGTTTGGTTCGAGTTGGAGGTAGGAGTGTAACACTGGGGGCACCGCCGGAAGTGAAGGGGGTGAGCGATCCCCGAGGTCTCTGCACCTCCGTTAGTCAAAAAACTACCGGACAGTGCCTCCAGAGGTAAAGGAAGAAAAAAATTATTTTATTTACCGATGGATTTCCAGATTGATCCTTCTTCAGCTTGATTGTCTCCTTCCCTGCTGATGTCCACCTGCAGTTTCTTAGGTTGCTGTGAGAACAACCTATCAACCACAACTTCTCACAGCTGCCTCAAGAGAGGTGGTCCTGAACATGGCCCACTTGGATTTCATGTCCCCAAACTCCCCAAGGATACATAAGAAACTCTTCTGGAGGTGGGAGTTGAAGACCTAGTGGACAGATGCCTCAGCCAGATGTTCCCATTTCACTGTCTCTACACATCTCGGTTTACCAGCTCTGCCTGGCAACCTCCCCCGCCATCTGATCCAACTCACCACCAGGTGGTGATCAGCTGATAACCCTGCTCCTCTCTTCACCCGAGTGTCAGAGACATACAGTCCCAGGTCTGATGATAGGACCACAGTGTGGATCATCGACCTAGAGTGTTCTGGTACCAAGTACACTTACAAACCACCCTATGCTCAAACATGGTGATTGTAATGGCCGATCGATGACTAGCACAAAAGTCTGATAAAGCATCGCTCAGTTTCAGATCAAGCAGGCTGTTCCTCCCAATTCCTTTGCCAATGTGAGCGCTAAAATCCCCCAGTAGAACTACAGGGTAATCTACACTGTTAAATCCTCCAGATGTCTGGCGTGTTTTAGTATAGACAATTACTTTACGTCAAGCAACGTTTAAAAGATTATGTGTTAAACAGAAGCTGAATTCTGACCTGAGAGTCTCCAGTGTACAGTGTGGACTCTCCAGACCAGTAGAGAGCATCATCACTCCTGAATCCTGCAGGTTGTTGTCACTCAGGTCCAGCTCTTTGTGAATACAGGACTGGAAGGTGAGAACTGATGAGAACTCCTGACAGCATTTTTCTGTAAGCCTCGTCTGACTCAACCTAAAATATACGTAAGAAGAAAATATTTTTCTTTAGTGTATTAAGTACATTTGTTGAATATTTGTAATGATTCAAAGGGCGAACACATGATAGTCTGAACATGGCCAAGATTAAGCACACGGCTGAAACCACAGTAATAGTTATGTATAATATTTAAGGTTCTGTTTCAGCAATAGGCATGCGATGCAAAACTAGATCACAAGATATGTAATGTTTGAGGCGCAGTACAGTGCACACAAAAGCATCAGAGTGAGATCTGACCTGAGAGTCTCCAGTGTACAGTGTGGACTCTGTAGTCCAGCAGAGAGCAGCTTCACTCCTGAATCCTGCAGGTTGTTGTTACTCAGGTCCAGCACTGTCAGAGTAGAGGACCGACATCTGAGAACTGAGGACAAGGCTTCACAGCTTCTCTCTGACAGATTACAGCCACTCAGCCTGAAGGGGAGACAGCCATTACGACAAACAAGATGATTCATATAATGAATGTAGAAAATATCATTTGTGAAGTTACCCCCTCTAATTTAATGAATCTGATCTGATTTGTGGTGTTCATGATTCAAACTAATTTCTAAGATAAAACTATTAAAGCAGGTGTCCAAGGTGGCCTTTCCAAACTCAGTTTCTTTCCACCAATTACGACTTGCTAAACCTTTATTTAATGTCACTTCCTGCTGCTGCTTGCCGCAGTGCGCTGGTTTAGATGCCAGGTTACTCTGTGTGCATTCAGACCACAGTTGAAATGGTCAAGGGCTTAACCACTGGTTTTACACTAAACAATATTATACCAAGCTACAGAGAAGGTTTGGTACAGGCAGAGCTGGCCACCAGAGAGACTCTGCTCTCAGTGTAACAGTTACCAGGTAGAGCTACATTTCCTCACCTTATGCCCCAAATACAAAGCTCTGAGAAATTATCATTTTAGAATAGAAAAGATAGCCTTTATTGTTCCATGGGGAAATTTGTTTTCCCAGTATTATGAAAACACACCCCAAAGTTCAAAACACAACAGTGAAACTCCCTCGTCTGTTGGGGAGGTGACTGCAGAAAAATGTATCACCTTATGTCACGAGCTGAGGACAACCAGTGAAACCTGAGAAACACTCTGCACTGGCTTCTTTTTGAATTGTCTGTTTTTTTATGTGGTGCTTTTTCATGATGATGAATCTGTAAAGACTTTGCAAAATTCATTTGATTCCTTTCTCTTAGGACTGATACTGATAATCACTGTGTGAAGGAGGGTCGAATGTAGTCAGCAGTTTGTTATATTTTGCACCTTACTATTGGCTAGTTTTTTGTTATACTTTGCACCTTATTGTTGGCTAGTTTTTTGTTATATTTTGCACCTTACTGTTGGCTAGTTTTTTGTTATATTTTGCACCATACTGATGGCTAGTTTTTTGTTTCATTTTGCACCTTACTGTTGGCTAGTTTTTGTTTCATTTTGCACCTTACTGATGGCTAGTTTTTTATTTTATTTTGCACCTTACTGTTGGTTAGTTTTTTGTTTTATTTTGCACCTTAGTGTTGGCTAGTTTTTTTTGTTTTATTTTGCACCTTAGTGTTGGTTAGTTTTTTTGTTATATTTTGCACCTTAGTGTTGGCTAGTTTTTTGTTTCATTTTGCACCTTAGTGTTGGTTAGTTTTTTTGTTTTATTTTGCACTTAGTATTGGTTAGTTTTTTTTATTTTATTTTGCACCTTAGTGTTGGTTAGTTTTTTGTTATATTTTGCACCTTACTGTTGGCTATTTTTTTGTTATATTTTGCACCTTACTGATGGCTAGTTTTTGTTTCATTTTGCACCTTACTGATGGCTAGTTTTTGTTTCATTTTGCACCTTACTGTTGGTTAGTTTTTTGTTATATTTTGCACCTTACTGTTGGCTAGTTTTTTGTTATATTTTGCACCTTACTGATGGCTAGTTTTTGTTATATTTTGCACCTTAGTGTTGGTTAGTTTTTTGTTATATTTTGCACCTTACTGTTGGCTATTTTTTTGTTATATTTTGCACCTTACTGATGGCTAGTTTTTGTTTCATGTTGCACCTTACTGATGGCTAGTTTTTGTTTCATTTTGCACCTTACTGATGGCTAGTTTTTGTTATATTTTGCACCTTACTGTTGGCTAGTTTTTTGTTATATTTTGCACCTTACTGATGGCTAGTTTTTGTTATATTTTGCACCTTAGTGTTGGTTAGTTTTTTGTTATATTTTGCACCTTACTGTTGGCTATTTTTTTGTTATATTTTGCACCTTACTGATGGCTAGTTTTTGTTTCATGTTGCACCTTACTGATGGCTAGTTTTTGTTTCATTTTGCACCTTACTGATGGCTAGTTTTTGTTATATTTTGCACCTTACTGTTGGCTAGTTTTTTGTTATATTTTGCACCATACTGATGGCTAGTTTTTTGTTTCATTTTGCACCTTACTGTTGGCTAGTTTTTGTTTCATTTTGCACCTTACTGATGGCTAGTTTTTTATTTTATTTTGCACCTTACTGTTGGTTAGTTTTTTGTTTTATTTTGCACCTTAGTGTTGGCTAGTTTTTTTTGTTTTATTTTGCACCTTAGTGTTGGTTAGTTTTTTTGTTATATTTTGCACCTTAGTGTTGGCTAGTTTTTTGTTTCATTTTGCACCTTAGTGTTGGTTAGTTTTTTTGTTTTATTTTGCACTTAGTATTGGTTAGTTTTTTTTATTTTATTTTGCACCTTAGTGTTGGTTAGTTTTTTGTTATATTTTGCACCTTAGTGTTGGTTAGTTTTTTGTTTTATTTTGCACCTTAGCGTTGGCTAGTTTTTTATTTTATTTTGCACCTTAGTGTTGGTTAGTTTTTTGTTTTATTTTGCACCTTAGTGTTGGTTAGTTTTTTGTTTTATTTTGCACCTTAGCGTTGGCTAGTTTTTTATTTTATTTTGCACCTTAGTGTTGGTTAGTTTTTTGTTTTATTTTGCACCTTAGTGTTGGTTAGTTTTTTGTTTTATTTTGCACCTTAGCGTTGGCTAGTTTTTTATTTTATTTTGCACCTTAGTGTTGGTTAGTTTTTTGTTTTATTTTGCACCTTAGCGTTGGCTAGTTTTTTGTTTTATTTTGCACCTTAGCGTTGGCTAGTTTTTTATTTTATTTTGCACCTTAGTGTTGGTTAGTTTTTTGTTTCATTTTCCACCTTAGTGTCGGCTAGTTTTTGTTATACTTTGCACCTTACTGTTGGCTAGTTTTTTGTTATATTTTGCACCTTACTATTGGCTAGTTTTTTGTTATATTTTGCACCTTAGTATTGGCTAGTTTTTTGTTATATTTTGCACCTTACTATTGGCTAGTTTTTCATTATATTTTGCACCTTACTGTTGGCTAGTTTTTTGTTATATTTTGCACCTTACTATTGGCTAGTTTTTCATTATATTTTGCACCTTACTGTTGGCTAGTTTTTTGTTATATTTTGCACCTTACTATTGGCTAGTTTTTCATTATATTTTGCACCTTACTGTTGGCTAGTTTTTTGTTATATTTTGCACCTTACTGTTGGCTGTTTTTTTGTTATATTTTGCACCTTAGTGTTGGCTAGTTTTTTGTTTCATTTTGCACCTTAGTGTTGGTTAGTTTTTTTGTTTTATTTTGCACTTAGTATTGGTTAGTTTTTTTTATTTTATTTTGCACCTTAGTGTTGGTTAGTTTTTTGTTATATTTTGCACCTTAGTGTTGGTTAGTTTTTTGTTTTATTTTGCACCTTAGCGTTGGCTAGTTTTTTATTTTATTTTGCACCTTAGTGTTGGTTAGTTTTTTGTTTTATTTTGCACCTTAGCGTTGGCTAGTTTTTTGTTTTATTTTGCACCTTAGCGTTGGCTAGTTTTTTATTTTATTTTGCACCTTAGTGTTGGTTAGTTTTTTGTTTCATTTTCCACCTTAGTGTCGGCTAGTTTTTGTTATACATTGCACCTTACTGTTGGCTAGTTTTTTGTTATATTTTGCACCTTACTATTGGCTAGTTTTTTGTTATATTTTGCACCTTACTGTTGGCTAGTTTTTTGTTATATTTTGCACCTTACTATTGGCTAGTTTTTTGTTATATTTTGCACCTTAGTATTGGCTAGTTTTTTGTTATATTTTGCACCTTACTATTGGCTAGTTTTTCATTATATTTTGCACCTTACTGTTGGCTAGTTTTTTGTTATATTTTGCACCTTACTATTGGCTAGTTTTTCATTATATTTTGCACCTTACTGTTGGCTAGTTTTTTGTTATATTTTGCACCTTACTGTTGGCTAGTTTTTTGTTATATTTTGCACCTTAGTGTTGGCTAGTTTTTCGTTATATTTTGCACCTTACTTTTGGCTAGTTTTTTATTTTATTTTGCACCTTAGTGTTGGTTAGTTTTTTGTTTTATTTTGCACCTTACTTTTGGCTAGTTTTTTATTTTATTTTGCACCTTAGTGTTGGCTAGTTTTTCGTTATATTTTGCACCTTACTTTTGGCTAGTTTTTTATTTTATTTTGCACCTTAGTGTTGGTTAGTTTTTTGTTTTATTTTGCACCTTACTTTTGGCTAGTTTTTTATTTTATTTTGCACCTTAGTGTTGGCTAGTTTTTCGTTATATTTTGCACCTTACTTTTGGCTAGTTTTTTATTTTATTTTGCACCTTACTGTTGGCTAGTTTTTTGTTTTATTTTGCACCTTAGTGTTGGCTAGTTTTTTATTTTATTTTGCACCTTAGTGTTGGTTAGTTTTTTGTTTTATTTTGCACCTTAGTGTTGGTTAGTTTTTTTGTTATATTTTGCACCTTAGTGTTGGCTAGTTTTTTGTTTCATTTTGCACCTTAGTGTTGGTTAGTTTTTTTGTTTTATTTTGCACTTAGTATTGGTTAGTTTTTTTTATTTTATTTTGCACCTTAGTGTTGGTTAGTTTTTTGTTATATTTTGCACCTTAGTGTTGGTTAGTTTTTTGTTTTATTTTGCACCTTAGCGTTGGCTAGTTTTTTATTTTATTTTGCACCTTAGTGTTGGTTAGTTTTTTGTTTTATTTTGCACCTTAGCGTTGGCTAGTTTTTTGTTTTATTTTGCACCTTAGCGTTGGCTAGTTTTTTATTTTATTTTGCACCTTAGTGTTGGTTAGTTTTTTGTTTCATTTTCCACCTTAGTGTCGGCTAGTTTTTGTTATACATTGCACCTTACTGTTGGCTAGTTTTTTGTTATATTTTGCACCTTACTATTGGCTAGTTTTTTGTTATATTTTGCACCTTAGTATTGGCTAGTTTTTTGTTATATTTTGCACCTTACTATTGGCTAGTTTTTCATTATATTTTGCACCTTACTGTTGGCTAGTTTTTTGTTATATTTTGCACCTTACTATTGGCTAGTTTTTCATTATATTTTGCACCTTACTGTTGGCTAGTTTTTTGTTATATTTTGCACCTTACTGTTGGCTAGTTTTTTGTTATATTTTGCACCTTAGTGTTGGCTAGTTTTTCGTTATATTTTGCACCTTACTTTTGGCTAGTTTTTTATTTTATTTTGCACCTTAGTGTTGGTTAGTTTTTTGTTTTATTTTGCACCTTACTTTTGGCTAGTTTTTTATTTTATTTTGCACCTTAGTGTTGGCTAGTTTTTCGTTATATTTTGCACCTTACTTTTGGCTAGTTTTTTATTTTATTTTGCACCTTAGTGTTGGTTAGTTTTTTGTTTTATTTTGCACCTTACTTTTGGCTAGTTTTTTATTTTATTTTGCACCTTAGTGTTGGCTAGTTTTTCGTTATATTTTGCACCTTACTTTTGGCTAGTTTTTTATTTTATTTTGCACCTTAGTGTTGGTTAGTTTTTTGTTATATTTTGCACCTTACTTTTGGCTAGTTTTTTATTTTATTTTGCACCTTAGTGTTGGCTAGTTTTTCGTTATATTTTGCACCTTACTTTTGGCTAGTTTTTTATTTTATTTTGCACCTTAGTGTTGGTTAGTTTTTTGTTTTATTTTGCACCTTACTTTTGGCTAGTTTTTTATTTTATTTTGCACCTTAGTGTTGGCTAGTTTTTCGTTATATTTTGCACCTTACTTTTGGCTAGTTTTTTATTTTATTTTGCACCTTAGTGTTGGTTAGTTTTTTGTTATATTTTGCACCTTACTTTTGGCTAGTTTTTTATTTTATTTTGCACCTTAGTGTTGGCTAGTTTTTCGTTATATTTTGCACCTTACTTTTGGCTAGTTTTTTATTTTATTTTGCACCTTAGTGTTGGTTAGTTTTTTGTTTTATTTTGCACCTTAGTGTTGGTTAGTTTTTTGTTTCATTTTGCACCTCAGTGTCGGCTAGTTTTTTGTTTTATTTTGCACCTTAGTGTCGGCCAGTTTTTGTTATACATTGCACCTTGGGCTTTGGTCACTGTTAGCTACAATCCCAAAGACTTTTGAGTATCCACAATGACATGTATGTGTATGTAAAGCAACAAGTAAATGGTCTTTCCAACGAAAAGCTGAATCTGACCTGAGAGTCTTGAGTGTACAGTCTGAACTCTTAAGTCCATCAAAGAGCAGCTTCACCCCTGAATCCTGCAGGTTGTTGTAACTCAGGTCCACCACTTTCACACTGGAGAACAGGCAAACTGAGGACAGAGCCATACAACTTGCCATTGAGAGGTTACAGCAACTCAGTCTGAAAAATGAGGAGGAATAAAGAAAAATGTTGACACTGTTCCTTCACATTTCAAATCAAAAGGTATCACATTTGTAGAACTGCCGTCTCTTGCTTGACGAGTTGAATACTCTGGTTTTAGGGTGTTGTTTTAATCAAATGTTCAGCCAATATATTTTGATTTCAGTGAACACTAACAGTAAATCGTAATTTCTTTAAAAGTAATGATCGCTGTGGTGTAATAATCATACTCAACTATGCTTTGGTCATCTGTAAGGAATACTCAACAGCATTATGATCTGCATTTGGAGCAATAACACTGATAATACTACGAAAAGCAGTGATGGATTTTTCAGACAAATCATCGACAATTCTTTTAGTAACTCCATACCCTACAGAAATCAGTCAACTAGGAACCTGTTTGATTGAGGACATCTGCTGATGTTTAACAGTTTGTACAGGTTCGGATATTGGACACAGCACTTATTGGCACCAAGCAAAATGTGACGAATGCATCAAATCAAATTTACAAAACTACCAAAATACCAAAGTCAGATACTGATTGCTCAGTAATGTGACTCTGATCAAATACTTTACCTTATTTGATACTAAGCTAAGATTTAGTCATTTTATGTAGAGAATATTCTCGTCTGCCTGCTTGTGTTACAACAACATTAAACTGTAAAGACTGTGATAAGTTTGGCATCTTTAATCAAATAAACAGGGTTCTTTAAAAAAAAACTTGTTGCCAACAATATTTAAACTGTGTAAAAACTTTTCCAACATTACCCAGCCTGAGGTATCTGCAGTTATTTGTGCACTTACAGAGCTTTGTTAGAGGCTTTGACCACTGGCAGCAGCCTCAGCAACATCTCCTCTGAAGGGAAGTATTTCTTCAGGTCAAACACGTCCAGATATTCCTCTGATGACAATAAGATGAAGACGAGAGCTGACCACTGAGTGTGGGACACTTTATCTGTGGAGAGACTTCCTGAACTCAGGTACTGTTGGATCTGCTCCACTAGAGAACGATCCTTCAGCTCGTTCAGACAGTGGATCAGATTGATGCTTTGCTCTGGAGACAGATTCTCACTGATCTTCTTCTTGATGTACTGGACTGTTTCCTGATTGGTCTCTGAGCTACTTCCTGTTTGTGCCACCAGACCTCGTAGGACACTCTGATTGGTCTCCAGTGAAAGACCCAGGAGGAAGCGGAGGAACAAATCCAGGTGTCCATTTAGATTCTTTAAGGCCTTGTCCACAGCACTCTGGTAGAATGGTATTAGTACAGGCTTTTCTCTGAATGGAAGCCACCACCAGGAAGTTGTTTGTTCTTCTGCCATCAGATTGACACCAGAGTTGATGAAGGTCAGGTGGACATGAAGAGCAGCCAGAAACTCCTGAACACTCAGATGTACAAAGCTGAACATCTTGTCTTCATCTTTCTTCCTCCCACGTTCCTCTTTGAAGATCTCTGTGAACACTCCTGAGCACACCGAGGCTCCACTGACATCAATGCCACTCTCTTTGAGATCTCTCTCGTAGAAGATCAGGTTGCCCTTTTCCAGTTGGTGGAAAGCCAGTTTTGCTAATGATTTAACGTAGTGAAGGCACTTTTTTTGGCCGTACTTCTTTTTGATCTGATGAACCTGAAACTTCTAGAACCCTGTGTACATCTCAGTCAGGGTCTTGGGCAGCTCTCCTTCCTCTCTGGTCTTCAGAACTGTAGCAGTGATCCAGCAGAAGACTGGGATGTGGCACATGATGTGGAGGCTTCGTGATTTCTTGATGTGGGAGACGATTCTGTTGGCCTGCTCCTCATCTCTGTATCTCTTCCTGAAGTACTCCTCCTTCTGCTGGTCAGTGAATCCTCTAACCTCTGTCATGATGTCCACAAAATCAGAATGGATCTGATTGGCTGCTGCAGGTCGTGTGGTTATCCAGAGGCGAGCAGAGGGAAGCAGATTCTTCTTGATGAGGTTTGTTACCAGAACATCCACCGGGATCGACTCTGTCACATCAAAGTCTGTCACATCAAAGTCTGCCTCCTGGTTTTCATTATTAGAACAGTCCAGTTGAAGGCGGCTCTCATCCAGTCCATCCAACACAAAGAGAAGTTTGAACCTGCTCTTGTCAAAGTTGGTGTTTCCTGATGACTGCAGAGTTGTAAAGATGTAATTAAGAGCTTCTCTCGTGATGTCTTTGGTCTCCCTGATACGTTTATGAATGAGCTCTGCCAAACACAACTTCTCTCTTTTCCATAAATTCAGCTGGCGGAAGGTGAAGGGGAAAACAAGATGCACATCTTGATTGGTTCTTCCTTCAGTCCAGTCCAACACAAACTTGTGCACAAGAAATGTTTTTCCAATTCCTGCAGTTCCACTGGTCAGCACTGTTCTTGTAGGCCTGTATCTTCCAGAGGGGGGTTTGAACATATCACTAGGTTTGATTGTTTTCTCTTTATCTGCTGGCTTCCTCTTTGCCTCAATCTGTGTGACCTCATGCTGTGTGTTGATGTGTACATCACCTCCAGCTGTGATGTACAGCTCTGTGTAGATATCATCCAGACGCTGCTCATCCGTCTTTTCCATCAACCCTTCTTGTGCACACATGAACTTATCATGGAGGTATGATTGAAGCAGTTCTTGGTAGAATGAGATGTGTCGGTTCTTTGGCACTGGAACAATCAGGTCTGCGTTGAACACAAAGATAAAAAAGTGTTAGTCTGTTTGTCCACAGTAGTAGTTGATCACAACATGTGGCCTACTCAAAGACACGGTGTAAGGACAAAAGAGCAACCAGTTCTTACATGCAACATCTGATAGCGCAACAAAGACTGCACACAAATCACCACTTATCAACACACTTACCCAAAGTAAACAAGTCCAGCATCAGCAGCTACAACATAAAGCTTGCCACATTACTTTTCAAGCAAAGGACCAACAAAGCCAAGTTAGCACCAAACTGCTGACTCTGCAAAGACAAAAGAGCAACCACTTTCCACTGACATGCAAAATTGGAACGTAGCAAAGACTGTGCCGAACCTTCACAATGGAAGAATTGTCAGCTGACAAAGCAGCATGCCACGAAATCTTCCTCTCTCCCTTCATTGACTGACTGATATGATGGATGTGACTGGACCTAGCTAATATTAGCACAATAACAGTACAGGCTTAGTGACTCATTGAGTTTATTGTTGTGATCACCTGGTAGTTAGGCTGCTGGGTTAGTATGCCTCATACAGACTGCCTGCATGCAAACTAACCAGTCTTTTACTAACCTGGCACCTTTATGTGGTATAGATCACACACATATACTCAAAGTTCAAGATTCATGCGTTTCTACTGTTCTGTCTGACCACATGGGCTCATGAGGTACAAAGATCTCTCTCAGTCACCATCTTTGTAGTTTTTCTTTGTCAGCCATTTGGTTTTGTAGGCTGTGCAGCCCCGGCCACAAGCAAGTCCGCCAGACTTTGAAGACAATTTTCGTATTGACCAAACAGTGGTACTGCAATTTCCTGTCACATGATGCCATCAGGCCCAAAAAGACTTTTTCCCATAAACTTAGTATAAATCAGCTGATACATTTTTTTGAGCGTTTAACATAATTATTTATTATTTTTTATACGTTTATATAATTTTTCCGTATTTTTGATTAACCTGAGTTCCTAACAATATTCATACAGGTGTACAGTGCTGCCTCTATAACCTCATACGTCTCACTGGTACTTTACTAAAACCATCAAACCAATTTCACTGACATTTTATCATCAAAACTTTTCAACAGTTTTGTCACAAAAGGATCAAAACTCGACCCAAACAAACTGGGCAGGTAAACATCAGTAGGCAGTGTGGATAATGAATTGGCAGTGATACTTAAATATATATTTTACCTTTGAGTGTGTGATGCATCAGCCAGTCTCAGTACTGTATTGATACTCTGTCAGAGTTCAACACAAACAAACTCTCCATTCTGTGACTTGTTGGGTTAAACTCAAGGAAGCTGTGAAGCTCATCTCTGTCCAACATACAGTTTATGGCTGTCCTCTGTTACCTTCACACTCGGTGCCCTGTGTGTGTGTGTGTGTGTGTGTGTGTGTGTGCTCTGTGTGTGTGTGTGTGTGTGTGTGTGTTGCACCCAATTTTACTTGCATCTTGAAAATGCTTTGCACAGCACATTCCATGTGCAGTGGCTTCAGAAAATATTCCAATATTTTAATATTTAAAACGGATTAACTTTTATGCCAGTGACCTTACACACACACATACACACACACACACACACACACACACACACACATTATATAATCTATCATAAATGTACCTTCAGACTGAGAAGAGGATGCTGAAGCTTCTCCAACATCACTGACGTCCACTGAAACACAGAAATAATTTGTTATGTTTTCCATTTATTACTGGTTTTATCTATTTGATACAGTTTGCATTGAAACACACACGCCTCCCTCTCAGACTCACAACTGTCAAATCTAAATTCTGTGCACAAATTTGTTAAAATCTGTGTTAGTGAGCTCTTCTCGTTTTTCCACACTCATCCATCGACCTGACAGGTGTGGCTGATTAAACAGTATCAGGTGTGCCTTGGCATTAGGGCTGTACGATATTGGAAAAAAACTGACAATGTGATTTTTATTTTTTTGCAATATATACTGCGATAGCTGCAGAGGCTCCCAGCTTCATGTGAAACAGACTACATTATAGACGCTCCGTTATTTATTAATCCCTCTGTGTCTTTATATTTTTACTTTTTATCCACTCCTGTCGCCTTGATAAAGTTAATGCATGGCGTTGTCATTTCAAACTCAACACTTCCTGAATTTGTTTCAAATTAAAAGCCCCTTATAACCTCGGCTGAGAGAATCCCTCCATTTTCTAAATAGGCTTTTATTGTGAAACATTTGCAGGAAGTTGTGGAGGACTGTGCTGACACTTTTTAGGTGACTACATTAATATGTCAGCTGGCACATGAACAGACACAGTGACTCAAATAATAGTAAAGTCATAAAAATAGGACAAGAATAACCTGATGACATCACACACATCGTTAAAGACGACCTGGGATAATTGGTGAGTACCAGCGTGTAGCGTGTCATGTCTGTCGGCCAAGTCACGGCACGATTTTATGACTCCACTATCGTGTAATGTGACATAGTGACTTTCAGAATGGGCAGTAAAGTCGTGTAGTGTGTACCAGGCATAAATCCTCCTTTACCGTTTCTCCCTCTTGCATGTCGCTCATTTTCAGTGTGTGACTGCAGCGTGTGCATGAGAGGGGGAGGGGCTGCTGTTGTCAGAGAGGGAGGGACAGAGAGAGAGAGAGAGGCGAGCGGAGCAACGAGCGGAGCAACGAGCGGAGCAACGAGCGGAGCAACAAGTGGAGCAACGAGTGGAGCAACAAGTGGAGCAACGAGCGGAGCAATGAGCTGCTTTTCTGAAGCAAAACAAAAGTTTACATGTTCTGAAAAAAGAGAAAACATCTCATGTTCTGCGATGTGACTATTGCACATCGCGATGGCGATGTTCAAACAATATATTGTGCAGCCCTACTTGGCATGGTCACAAGGACACTTTTTTAAATGCCTGTGTGTCCCTTTCTATCATTCTGTGTCCCCTCTCTAAATTCAGACGTTTTTGCAGGTCCGTGAACACAGCACAGGCCGACTTATCCCCAAGTTCTGACGTTCTGCTGCTCCATCTGTGCAAAGAGTATGCTCTGTGCTAAGACAGCATGGTGCTATAAATCACCGCACGGTACATATACATTTCAAGAGCGCTCCTAATGAGGGTCCAGCTCCAAAGATAGAAAATCTATCTGTGGCAGCAGATGTTTTGATCATGGCGGTCCACCAGAATGAGTGGGAAACCCTGAGTGTAAAATGTGCAGCTTTATCTTTAAGTAAGACGTTTAATAGTCACTTTCATTGGTGAAGAGAACACTTCTCCAAAGTGCCAGACGCCATCGACAGCAAACAGTTGCCAACTCAAGCAGGTTACGACGATGTCAGGTCAAGACCCTGGTGAGGATGATGAGCGTGCAGATGAGCTTCTCGGGTGGCGTCCTGTGGCTTGTGTTTTCATGGTCGTCTTCTGTGAAGCACTGAATTTTGTTCATGTAAAAGTTGCTATACCAAATAAAATTTGTTCTTCTTCTAGAGTGTCCTTTTACTGTGACCACATCCAGTAATAATGCTTTTTAAAATCAGCCACACCCGTCAGGTGGATTTTGGCTAATCTGTGACCAAAATTTGAGAGAAATATTTCTTCTGAGTGCATAAAAAAGGCTTGGTTCTTTTATTGTGACTCCTGAGAGATGGAGTGAACTGTGTGACATATATATTTCGGTTCAGAGTAATAATTCAGTCTGGTTATGATTTACGAGCAGAAGTGAGGTGACTTTTTTGTCATTTGGTTTTTGTCTGTTAAAACACACACACACACACACACACACACACACACACACACAGGAGGCTGAGCTGAAACATAGAAATGCAACATCTCTTAAGAAATGCAAAATAAATACACCAGGCATTTGGTGGATTAAATCTAAAACATTTACATAATTAAACGTTAATATGGCATTTATTTGGTTTATGAATTGAGGGGAGACATTTACCAGGCGTGTTGGCGACAGTGAAATTGATCTGGTTTGCATGAACATTGCTCAGCTGAGGCATGTAGACGACGCTTCCATACTGGGTGGTGAGGCTCCTGCTTCCCACTTCAATCTGAGTTTGAGTTGATTGAGAACAGACAAAATAATCAGGACCAGGCAACATGCATTCCTCTGCTTTATCTGAATACGTTTGAAGTGTAGATTACTCCAGTAATATCTCTCCATATGTTCATCTGATAGTAACCGATGAGTTAGAGCTAAGATGAGACAATCTTCTCCTGTAAAGAAAAATTTACAGTGTTTCCTTTGGATCAGGATGCTGTTGGTGTAACTCACACTGATATGGTTCAAAGATCACAAACTGCCTCATGTTGGTATTTTTTAAGGTTTATCTTTATTATTTATAAATTCAATTTGATAAGCAGTTGTGTTGGTGCTGTATATAATTATTTGTGTGCATCTGTTTGGATGTGAACGACTCTACTCTGCGCAGTTACCCGCTCTTTCCACAAGGTGGCAGACACTTGTCGTGTTGGTTGATTGCATGTGCAGAGACGACAAGTCACTCCCCCACTTACAGTATTTTGGCCGGATCCAAATGTACGGACGTCACCGCACTTGCAGACTTGTAGACTCGCAGACTCGCAGGCACATTCCCGAGAAGTCTGGGAGTGCTGACGGCTCCAAATCCACAATTCAACTAATCCACAGGGGCCTCAGGCAGGCTTTCTGCAGACTCCCAGAGAGTCAGCTTGGGGTGCAGACTTCACTGATTTAATAACCCACAATTCATTGCAATATGGACGTCAATTTTCTGGTATTTTTAATAGCCAAAAAAACCCACCGTATGAATGTGTAAGATAGCTGTTGATAGTTAGGCTGATTAAAATGCAACTTGAATTGTGGGGCCCGAAATAACTTTCAACCACATCATGATACAGATATGTTTAAGTACAGGCTGTGGAGGGACTGACAATACATTTATTACTGCAGCCGATCAGGCTGAACCGTATAATGGGTAGGAAAAAAAAAAAAAAAAAAAAAAAGGCTGAAAAACAACTAAAGAACATTTCTAATGTCAGAAATACAAAGTTTACTGAGCTATCGCTCCGTCCTTAATTACAAACATTTCTGTTTTTGACCATGTGCAGCCTGTACGTTCTATAGAGATGTATGAAAACATATTTGTTCAGTCACAAAAAAGGCTATACATGAGGTTTATATCTTGTTATCTGCAGGAACACATGAGTAGGCACTATTCATCAACTGCTGTAAAATTTAAATTAAATGCCCCGTACCTCTTACCAGCTCGGTGTGGCTAAAAGCCTGCCTCACTTGAGCCCCATTTCCACTGAGCAGTTTGGTTCAGTTCATAGTTTCTGTCTCCACAGTGAAAGTTGTGGATGGTCCCAACAGAAGCGTTCCTTAGCGTCCCCATGTTTGGTCCCCCCTCTGTTGGGGTACCTAGCACACAGATCTGGTACTAAAAGGTGGAGCTAGAAACCCTGCAGTCTGATTGGTCAGTAGAGGACGCTCACTCTGGTTTTATGTAACCTCTGTTCATACATCAGTAAACTACAACTATAAAATGAAAGAGAAAAAAATAACTTCATTCACTGGGCCGACTGCCGGCAACTTTTAAGGTGGAACGTTAACTTGTAATGTTACTCAATGCATGAGTTGATGACGTGAATCCATCAGCACACCTTAAATTTCACTGTGACAACTTTGACCATCACTTTAGTTTTTATATGACACACACTTTTAGTAATGACTTTAAAAATATAGATTAATTTGGAGCGGATTATGTGAAGGTCATATATTCTAATCCTCACTTCCTGTGGGCTACAGCAACACTAAACCCCTGAGCTTGCCTGAGAAGGACTAAATGCACAAAGCTGCTATTTTTAAATATCCCATGGAGAGAGACTCTCACTGCAGCCTGTTCTATTTTGTTGTGAAAATGTGGGCGTGCAGCCTCGTTCTGTGGACGATAAACCAGGTGCAGACTTCCATCTGTGTCACCGCTGATGAGGAAATACAGCGAGTGCTGGACGGAGCAGTGAGTGACAACAACCCCGCCCACATTTAAGAGGACTGTCTGAACACACCGAGGGTCTAGGGACCATGTCTGAAGGCTTACTGCTGGTTCCACAGGTGCTGGACTGAAAGGGTTTGGTGGAGACACAGCTTTAGAGGCTGGTCTGGTTGCCAAGCAGTTCATTTTTTTAATAGAAGTTCTTCAGATGTATAAAAGCGTGTTATTGGCGATCTCAAATTATGTGTCTCTTCCTGGATTACCCATAACTTTTTATATTCCTTTGGTCTACAAGGGTCCTCAGATTAAAAGAATCAAAAGTCTGTCTGACTGCTCTCTCAGTAGCTGCAACTCAGATTCTTTGAGAGCAGAGCTTTTTCTGCCAAATCTAACTTTACGACCGTTTGCAAATGACAGTCGATTCCTCGCTCTGACTAAAATGTTTTTCTCTTCCTGTCACTGACCTGTTGGTGTGTTTGCATTCTCCAGCTGGTTCTTTGGGATGACTGATAAATCTTTAAGGGGGTTCCACTTGAAGCGCTTCGAGTCGTCATCCCCGGGCTCGTCCAGAGCATCTGAGAGGACCCGTTTTGCCATTGACAGGACTCACTTTGTCATTGTTGGCTTCCTGTTAAATTCAGACGATACTGTGAACCTTAAGGACAGTTGTGTGTGACATACACATCAACATTAAAAACACAATACACAACAGTATTGATAAACTAACTGTTACCTATGAATCCTTGTGCAATCACACCAGCTAGCTTATGTGTAATCACTGCTGCATCGCTCCATAACGGTGAGGCAAACGAGGTCGCTAACAGTTATGATCTATTGAAACATACTGGTCAATAAGCTGTATTAATATTCCAAAATGATTAAATAATAATAATTATTATTATTACTATTTAGGCAATTAATATTCGTATTGTGACTGTTTGACTGGTCATCAATTATCTGAAGGTGTCAATCAGCTGACAGGCTGTCACATGTTCATGTTTGTAGCTTAGTTGATGTGACGTTCTTTCTGCTGTGCAGAGGATTGTGGGTCAGAATAGCCAGAAAGGCATGCTGGCTAGCATACTGCAAAATTGGACTGGATGTAGTGGAACATCCTGGTATTTCTGGCCTACTGCATCTGACACACTCTGTGTTGGGACTAGGGTTGCAGCAGTACACCAGTTTAAAGGTCTACTGTGATATTAAAATTAACAGTTATCATATTGTGTGCATTTGCTTATCTACAATATTACAATGAAAAATGCAACTGGACAGAAAACTTTATTTTCAGTTCTTTCCAAAAGAGACTTTTTACACAAACGTCCTTCAACAAAATGGTTTCAAGGTTCAAGGCTTGAATATGAACCATCAGGATTCTTATTAAACACAATGACTGAACAGTGTTTCATGTCTCCATCTGCTGCTGGGCCGTCACCATAATAGTCAATATGATGTTAATTCACTACAGAAGAGACTTGATGATGATCACTTAAGTTAGGTGGGAAAAAAGTGGATATACTGATATCAAATATCTACAAAAAAATCCATTTTTATGCATCCCTAAAATATGGTAAGAAAACGTTAAAGCAAAAATAACCCTTCAGTTTTAATTCTGACAGATATTTATATTAATAATAATAATAATAATAATAATAATGGTTCTGTAATACCGTGAAAATGCGATATTCTCTGTGACAGTTACTGTGACGTTTTGTAACGTTCGGTGTGTTAACTTCCGGAGTCTTTTAAAGTAGTAAAAGTAAAAGTGGATCTCTCTCTCTCTCACACACACACACACACACACACACACACACACACACAGAGCTGTGAATAATGATCGATCTGACAGCCGTTCAGCTCGCGTGCCGTTAACTCCAGAGTACCGTTTTATTTACTTTCCTGTCAACACTTCCGGTTCGCTGATATCGAATAAAAGTGAAGTGACGACGTTTCCAAATTAAAGAACCAATGAGAGCAGAGAGTTACCTCCTCACCTGGAGCTCACCTGACTCTTCACCACATCCACACACTTGTTACTCCATGTTAAACACCGTTTGTCATCTGACGGTGCCGCCCTGTGTCCGTCAACTTCCGGTTACCACCGAGAGAGGAGAGACCGGGCTCCTTTCAAAATAAAACACTACAGTTCAGACAGGAAATACCAGAATAAAAGCCGCTGATGAAGCTGCACTGGAACATAAACTTGACACTCATTGGTCAGTGAACAAACCGTGACGGAGTCATTTACAAAGAACAATGATGATGTCACACATGTTTACGAATCTGTTTTATTTTATGTTGAAAGACTTCTATCTACATTCAGATATTACACAGGAAGACTTTAACTCCGTCCAGAACACGGTCAACACAAAAAAATACTCTAATGGTGGATTTATACTCTAAATGCACTCATAGGTTAGAGACAGGAAATAGATGAATAAATAAAATCTGATTTGGACACACACACACAGCGTCTGTTGTGTGGATACATCACAACTCAAAATGTCCTTAATTTTTTAAGTATTTCTGTTAAAAGCTCCCGAGGTGAACACTGTGTGACCATCATTAATCAGATGTATTGTCAGTTGATGGTTTCATTAGAAACTGCATTTCATTTCCCAGTGACACTCAGATCCACCGTCCATTCTGATGGACAGAGAGTTTTGAAACCGGGTGAGTAAAAAGTTGTAAATCTTTCATATGATTTTTGACATGTATCAGTAACTTACCATCTCATCTTTACTTTAAACACAAATTATGAACTTTAACAATATGATGCGTGGACTCAAACGTGCCTTGCACTCCAGCCACGCTTGTTAAAAAAGGGGGCGTGGCTCTACTGCAGACCACTTTAGATGATGCGAAGCTCTGTGATTGGTTCTTACTGAGCATTCCCACCAAAAGCTTCATGGGGTCCGTCCCAAGTCTCTTAATTTACTGCTAGTTATTTTACCTAGCCGACTTTGCTAGCTGTTTAGCCCCTCCCACCTAGGAAAAAATGCGAGGAGCTAGCGCTAGGAGCGATGAGCGAGCTTTGTCAGTTTAAGAGACATGAGACGGCCTTACTCTGAAGCAACGTCCATTCCTGATGACGGCGGCACCGCTGGATCTGCTACATAACGGAGCCAGCTTTTGGCGTACATCCCAAGTCACATTATATTCGCTGATCAAAGCCGTAAGAACCCCTCACAGCTGATCAGGAAAAACTCCCCAAAAAACCCTTTAACCTCAGGAAGAGCAACTGAGGAGGGATCCCTCTTCCAGGACGGACAGACGTGCAATAGATGTCGTACAGAACAGATCAACATGATAAATTAACAGTAATCCGTATGACACAATGAGACAGAGAGAGAGAGAGAGAGAGAGAGAGAGAGAGAGACAGAGAGAGAGAGAGAGAGATGCAGGACAGACAGTAATAACAGTAGCTTACAACAACATGAAAGTAATAATACTAATTAATATTAATAGGCTAATTAATATTACCAACAAGCTATTAAACATTCCATTCACAATTAATGATGGGCAAATGTGTGTGTGTGTGTGTGTGTGTGTGTGTGTGTGTGTGGTTCTGGACATGAGCAGCTGCACATTTAACAGCCACACATCACCGACAGTCCGCTGAACACCGCAGCGGGTTGTGAATGAAATGAACTTAATTACAACATGACAGTCTTGCACGAAATATTATTATCGTTACTCTTTGTAGTCACGTAGGCTTGTGAATTACAGCTTTTCATTGCAAAGAATGCATGTAACTGGTACTCTTGTGCTGTTTCTCCGCCATCTCGTTCAAATGAGCCAGATGTAGGGGGCGGGTATTTATACGTCATGGCCTCAAGCTGACAAAGACTTCCTGTTAGGAACCTCTCGACCATCCGAGCTCGTAGCTGCTTAAAGCTTGCTGCTAGCTCCTAGTGCTAGCTCCTCGCTGCACAAATAAGAGACTTGGGATGGCCTAGAAGATGGCCGACCTCGAACGACTTCCAGTTCAAGCGAGGAGCTAGCAGTAGCGCTATAAAAATAAGAGACTTGGGACGCACCCATGGTCGCCTGTGGGCGCTGTGGTCGCTCTGACAGCAGCTCCAGCAGGCGCTTGCAGTGGCCAAAGGGGCGGGGCCGGCTGCTGCAGATGTGTCCGTCTAGGCTGAACGGGCTGTTCGAGTCCCTGTCCGGACCAAATATGGAGCGTGGACTGGTGGCTGGAGAGGTGCCAGTTCACCTCCTGGGCACTGCCGAGGTGCCCCTGAGCAAGGCACTGAACACCCCAACCGCTCAGGGCGCCCCACCAAGGGCAGCCCCCTCACTCTGACATCTCTCCACTTTGTGCATGTGTGTGTGTCGTTCAGACCTGTGTGTAATTGACAAGCAAGAGTGAAAACATTGAATTTCCTCTCAGGGGGATTAATAATAAAGTGAATAAACTTAAACTATCTGCCTGGAGGTTTTTGTAAATGTGTGTCGGGCTGTGGCAGAAGTAATGAGACATTCTTACTGATGATTCTTTCCACTCACAAGGTCCCGGTTCGATTTGATTTCTGATTCAATATCTATTTGATTGGGAATATAGAACAGAATATACTTTATTGTCCCCTAGGGGAAATTTGTGGTGGACTCTAGTGCATACACCAGCTGCCTTGCAGACAATAAATATACACAAAACAGCAAAGACACAGGAAACGGCAAACATACACACTCATAAGACACAAACCAACAGGAAAAAAAAAAAAAAGAATAAAAATAAAGATCAAAAACCCAGCTAGACAAAATGTGAAAAACAGACAGAACACCACGTTATTGCACAGTCCCCAGTATTTCCCAGTCTTCAAGAGCTGTTTAACAGTTTGATGGAATTAGGAATGAATGAGTGTTTGAAACGGTTCAGTTTGCATTTGGGAAGTCTGAACCTTCTGCCAGAAGGCAAGAGCTCATACTCAGGATGAAGGGTGTGAGACGGATCCGCCAACACCCTCCCTGCCTGCCTGACTACAGACTGCTCATAGATGGACTGGAGAGAGAGCTTTTCAGTCCTCCCCATCACCTTCATAGCAGCCTGTACCAGGCGCTGCAGCTTGGATTTGGACTGTGCAGAGAGGTTGCCGAACCACGCCGTCATCCCTTACCTGATAACACTCTCCATCACTGCCTGATAGAATGAAAACATAATGTTGTGACTGACACCAAACAACCTCACCTCAACCCCCACTGACCGAGGGTCCAGCACCATCTCCTCTGTTTTTTTAGTGTTAAAATATATTAGTTATGTTTCAGATACAAAACGAATTTTTGCTAGAAAAGATTCTCAGAGAACTAATACTGTACATTTTATAAGGAATTATTTTCTAAAAAGAATAAAATCAGAACAGGATTAAAACTGAATATTTCATAACTAAATGTTTCTACAGCAGCAACAGTCAGAGATGGACCAAAATGCCCCTCAAATAAATGTATCAAAATTAAATACATGTATTTTGGATTTTCAGATACAGAAAATACTTTGTTTTTCTTTTTAGCAGCGACCCGCAGCTCTATAGGTCACTCTGTCGGTCGGTCGGTCCACAAAGCTTTTTGTGAATAACTCAAAAAGTCCTTGACCAAAAATGCTGATAATGTACATGCTGCAATTAGAGACCATGAGTAACTATACCAGAAAGAACAACCATGATTCATCCATTAATGGCGTGATAGTAGCAAATTTGGATGCAGCTGTTGTAAATTTGTGTTTGTTTTCTCACAGTTTGGTGAAGCAGAGAATTCAGGTTTGGGCTGTAGGATAAACACAAAGCTCTGGTGAACAGTCACAGGACTAACTAAGTGTAACTAAACCTTAACAGCCCATAAACTTTTTTGTATCAACAAATAAAATATTCACAGACACTGTGATAATAACATATGAATTCATTTCAACTTTTTTCAAATGAAAAAGAGAAAACAAAGCTAGGGACATGTAGGCTACACTAAAATATTATTCACTGATTCAGATTTAGATTCAGACAACTTTATTGATCCCATGTGAGGCAGTTCATTTGTAGCAGACTCATCCCAAACATCAACCACAACAACAACATACAGTTTCCTATGTTATGCACAGTCCAGTGAAACAGACCACGAGGTCACTGAAGGGCCCAAGTTTAAAAAAACATATAGATTAAAAAAAGAAGTAAAAAATATTATTACAGTTAATATTATAAGAATGTGTAGCCTATTATTTTTGTTTGTTTGATCCATGGAGAAAGTATTGAGTATTTTAAATACAAAATTACTCCACTCAAAAGTATTTTGTTACAAATTACATTCGCTTTTTATCGGCCTTATCAAATACAAATTACAAAATACTCAAGTGTAACTGAAATACGTATTTTAAATACAAGTAATAGAAATACTGCCCGTCCCTGGCAACAGTAAGATTAAAACACAATATACACTCAATGTCTGACTGGAAACAAATGTCAATAAAATAAATCCTGACATCACAAGACTGAGTGAAGTTTAGAAAGAATAAAGAACACAGACATCAGTCAGTATCAGTCCTCCTGTCCGCTCTGCTGCTGAGGAGACTCACTGCCTGCAGATCACATGACCACAGGTCACATGACCACAGGTGTTAAGACACGAGACAAACTGAGCTGAACCGTCAGACATCAACAGCTGTTGTTGTTTCAGCTTGTTAGTAACAGTTAGCTGTAAAGCCTCTGTGTTTGTTTATAACATGATGTCAGCGGCGGTGGATGACAGACTGCGGACAGAGCAGACTGAAATATTCTCTACATGTTTACATGTTGCTGATCAGCTGTATTGATAAAGTATTGACTTTTTACTGCACTCACAGTAACAAGCGTAGCTGTCGTCAGCTCAAGTTATCTTCACTTCCTGTCTGCACGACGGCATCTCTACTACGTACGTGTGTGTGTGTGTGTGTGTGTGTGTGTGCTTGTAAAAGTGGCGCAGCAGCCCGGCGCACAGACGGCAGGAGGAGCGGCTGCTGCAGCACAATGATAACTCACATCAAAGCATAAAAACAGTGAGCTAACAGTTACAGGTAAAGAGCCAGTAACGTCAGAGCTTCTTAAGACTATGGTTA